GATATGTAGTATGTCTTGACCCACTGAGCAGAACCTCGTCGACCTTGAGTTGCAACGCGGGTTACTTTAGCCATGGCACCAAAATCAACTTGAAGCCATTGCTGACGGTTATTTCTGGCTGCACACCAGGCACCTGCGCCTGCATAGCTGTTAAGCCGACCGTACATTGGTCTACAAGAGCTGCCTGAGTATGACGATGCTTTCATCATCTGGTCAGCGACYTCCTTTTCTTCGACTCCAAGTGGCATGTCACAACGGTCTAAAACAGAAAAGATTATTATTACCTATTTATAATATATTTTTGGCTTAGGCTAGTGAATTAATGAATGAATTAACCGCATATTAACATCAGTTTGCAGCATCTGTCGTGCTCTCCGTTTTTGCGTATTATACGTAAAAGATTCTCATAGTTATGCCTCTTCTGGAAGGAAAACGGAAAAATATTCCGGACTGATCCTATCATTCGTTGATGCAAGCTGTAGCTATTCTCTTTATTATCTGAGAAAACTAAAGTTCTCTTTTGCTACTGTTGTATTTAGATCAATTGAAGGTAATACGGTTTAACTATACGTACTCCATGCGCAACCGTACAGCTCGACCCTCATGGCGATGTGTGATCTCCAYCCTCTTGGTTGGAAGCGGAAGAACCGCGTGTAGATGGGGTCGTCGAAAGAGTTGATCTTAACGGAGTCTTTGTCTCGGTTAGCTTGGAAAGTCTGTAGTAAGAGAAATAACGATTAGAATATTAATGCTAAAAATAACGATAATAATGATAATAGTTTGCATCATGGGTAATGTTATGTGATTTTCGCTCTTTTTTSGCTAAAACAGATCGCAAATCATTCGAATACTTTCATTAACAAATAGCTACTAAGCCAATCGGATAAGATCTTGCAAAACCGTGAAGTGCTACCCAAGGCATCATGGTATTGATAAAAGTATCAAGTATGACGTCATGTGTCGCGTGACATCAGTCACACAATCACATCGATCACGCAGACAAAGAAAACTTACGTGGATTGTGGAGTACCAATATCGTTTGGTCGCCCAGTTGTGTCCTTCTAAACTGAACTGGATGTAGTACGAAGTCACCCACTGGGAAGCATCTTGTCGACCTTGTGTTKCAACGGCAGAGATCTTCATTGTTCTTTTAAGATCGATCTGTTGACAGAGGATTTGTTATATGAATGTCTTATAAGTTTGCTATTGATCTCGTTACTATTGTTCTCTTTGCTATTGTTTTCGTTGTTTTGCTATTGTTTTCATTGCTATTGTTCTTGTTGTTATTGCTATTGTTCTCGTTGCTATTGTTCTTGTTGTTATATTGCTCTTTTTGTCGTTGCTATTGTTGCCTTTGTTTTTGCTATTGTTCTTGTTGCTTGTGTTATCATTGTTTGGCTATTGTTCTTGTTGCTTGTGTTATCATTGTTTTGCTATTGTTCTTGTTGCTATTGTTATCATTGTTTTGCCATTGTTCTTAATGCTTGTGTTATCATTGTTTTGCTATTGTTCTTGTTGCTTGTGCTATCATTGTTTTGYTATTGTTCTTGTTGCTTGTGTTATTGTTGTTTTATTGTTTATTTGACTTACCTGAAGCCACTGATTGTGGTTATTGAGCTTAGAGATCCACGAACCGTAGTACGACCCACGTCTCTTAAAGTGCAGTCGAGCTATTCTTGCTGGAGAGTGACCGTTGTACTCTGACGACGCGGTCATCTGATTATTTCTAATGCGACGCACACTTTGTACACCAACAGTGCCTGCACAATACTTAGCTGGAAACAAACAACAATAATGATTAATCTGAGTATCAAAGTCTTTGTGAAAATGGAGATTACATGAGGACAAAAAGGGGGGGGGGGGAAGGGGTTAAAACTAACATTTTACTCTTCTTCAAAGTCCAGATAAGTATAGTTTACAACATGAGCGGCCGTGTTGTATGGGAATTACAATCTCGAGCCGCAGGCGAGAGATTGTAATTCCCATACAACACGGCCGCGAATGTTGTAAACGACTTATAAAACTCCAACACAAATTAACATGAATTACAGTGARATAAATRACGAAAAATGACAAATAAGGTAACTGCTGAGTTTAGTCCCTATTAAGCATGCGCAATTTACTGCAACACAGAACATTTTGAATAATTATCCATCCCACATGGAAAGCAAGCCATCTGTTGCATAAGCSAGTTCTGTTATCCRTCTTTGATTGCTTCAAAACCTAGTGAAGGTCTATGATGCGACACTAAAACTGAGACCTTTGCTAGTGTTGGGTTGTCTCAAGGTGACGACCGTGTTGTAAATCTTATACAACACTAGTGTTGTATCACAGTGTTGTATCTGATTTACAAGTTCAATCACCTGATGAAATGGACAACCCTTATTGGAGTAATAGCTCATGCATTATTAATAAGTTTTATAATAAAGCTTAATATTAAGAAATTAAAAAAGAAGGTTTCATGAGGTCTTTAAAGACGAAGAATACGCGAAAAAAAAACAACACGAAAATCATCTAAATGGAAAATATCTCTTGTAAAAAGGCCTTGCAAATCTGAAACTTTTGGAAAATTAGGCTAGTATACAGTGGGAAACTGTCGAGCTTGGAAAACGACATAGACTGAACAAGATACAATCTTTTATTTTATTTTTTAAAGCAAAACGATGCTTGTGGCGATGTATTTGCCCTCACCTTTACTGATCASTTAATATTTGTGCTTAGGGATGAATTGTTAATATTTACAAGAATTGTTAATTTAAAATTAAACGTTATAATCCATACCTCCTCCATAGAAACATCCATACAACTCAAATCTCAAATATGGCCAACTGTACCAGNNNATATATCGTGCTTTGATTGGTGGCGAAAACCTATTTGCAACTGTGGTCCAGTAGTTGTAGTTACCATTGAACACCTATGTACATAAAAACACAAATTGACGAGTTACTACCAGCTCTATAAGYGTTGCTATTAGGGAAGCATAAAGCTTTTAAAGCTATGATCGGGGGGGTTGTGGTCCTTGCACTTTTTCAAGTCCGCTAAAATGGAATTATGAAAGTAAATGTAACTTTTAAGAAGGGGCTACAAAATGAGCAAGGACTGAATTTGTGATTGTGATATAGTCCATACATTGGTCATTAAGTCTTAACATATTTTRCCAAATTACGGTAAAAATGCATAGCTTGGGTTACCKGTGCTTTRGTGGACTTGTAGTTAATGCTCATAGATCRATAAAAAAACRCACAATCAAAAGAGACTTGTTCAACTTTATACRCATACCCTGTTATAAGGCCTGTAACGTTTACCRTCTGTGCTGTAATACACTCTATAAGCAAAGAAAAACTGACTTCAATAAACTTCCATGATGGTGGAAAGGGTAATACCCATTTTTAGGAAATATTTTCACAAACTAATGCTCATGGGATCATCACATTTTCATGAAACCCCAAAACAACAATT